GGATAAGAATTGTGAGGCCGCTCATCTTTGACAAAGGAGTTGACCGTCCCCACTGAAGGAAAGATAGCCTCTTTAATAAATGGTGTTGGAAAAACTGGATCTCAGCCTGCCAAAGATTAAAACTAGAACCGTATCTCTCACCAAATGAAAATCCAAGTGGATTAAAGATCTAAATATTAAAACAGAAACACTAAACTTGCTGGAAGATAAGTTAGGCAGAACTCTGGAAGACATTGGCATAGGAAAAGACTTTATGAACAAATTCTCAGTAGCACGGGAACTAGCAGAAAGAATCAGCAACTGGGATCTCATCTTTTTAAAAAGCTTCTGCACTGCAAAAGAAACCATCAACAGAACTAAGAGACAACCTACAATGTGTGAAAAAACTTTTACCAGCTGCTTCTCAGACAAAGGACTATTATCTAGAATATATAAAAAACTCAAAACAATCACCCCCCCAAATATAAAGACCCAATTTAAAAATGGGCATCTGAAATGAACAAACATTTCTCAGACAAAGAAGTAAAAGCAGCAAGTAAATATATGAAAAAACGTTCCACATCACTGGTCATTCGAGAGATGCAGATGAAAACAACACTGAGATTCCACCTCACCCCACAAAGAATGGCTGTTATCAAGAAATCAACCAATAACAAATGTTGGCGGGGTTGTGGGGAGAAAGTAACCCTTCTCCATTGCTGGTTGAGTGCAGACTGGTGCAACCACTATGGAAATCAATGTGGAGATACCTCAAAGAGCTGAGACTGGAGGTTCCATTTGACCCAGCCATCCCTCTGCTGGGTATCTTTCCAAAAGAATTAAAAGAATCATATTACAGTGACATATGCACACCTATGTTTATAGGAGCACAGTTTGTAATAGCTAAAACTCGGAAACAGCCCATTTGCCCATAAGTTGGAAACTGGATAAAGAAGATGTGGTTTTTCTATAAAATGGAATACTACTCAGCCACAAAGAATGAGAAATTAGAGTCATTCATAGGAAAATGGATACATTTTGAGGATATACTCCTAAGTGAAATAAGTAAGTCATACATGTGTAAATACTGAATAGTTTCTCTGGTGTGAAAAACTGTAATAGTATACAAGATCCTAATGGGGTAATTAATGTGAAATAGGAAGAAAAGAGCTAAAGGTGTAGGGAAAGTGGGAAGGGTAGGGCAAAGAGAATAAGGGAATAAGAAAAAAGTAGGAGAAAATGAAAAAATGGAAGTAAAGTGTTTGTAAATGGGGAAGGGAGGAGGGGCTGAAGGGAGGGCAGGGACAAGGGGAAAAAATGAGAACTAAAACCTGTCATGTAAAGTTACAAGATCCCAGTAATGAATGTAACTGTACTGTATACCTAGAATGTACCAATAAACTCAATAAAAAAAAGAATTGTGAGGCCACTTATGAATCACTAGTGCATAATTCCTAGCTTTTAGCAAGGCCTCTAAAATTGTTGTTACTTAGTTACTTTTCATGCTGACTTGATCTTACATATTGAAGCCCCAATGCTGGGGTTTGATTATGTAATAAAGGCCCTACCCTGTGGCCCAGAGTAGATAGCTGAGCACAACTTGGTCACTCAGGTTCTGAGTGATTAGTGTCTGTTTAATGACTGACAAGTCCAGCCTGGTGTGTGCAGTGTGAGAGCATGTCAGTCAGGCCCTTTCAAACCCAGAATTAAAAAGTCCTTTCCTGGTCCCTTCCCCTTGCTTTCCTCTTTCATTGTAACATGAACTGAGCCAACAACATGCACCAATTACATAGGGCTTCTGCAAAAAAAAAAAAAAAAAAAAAAAAAAAAAAAAAAAAAAAAAAAAAAAAGAAAGAAAGAAAGAAAGAAAAAGAAAAGAAAGAAAAAAAACCACAAAAAGGCAATAGGAAATTAGTCTACAAATACATGTAAGTTTGCAGCCTAAAAACCAACAAAATGATTATTATTTTTAAAGATGGTTTAACGAGGCTAAGTTTATACCTATCGTTCATGAAGGTGGGGTCTATTAAATGTCACTTCACCAGCTTTGATGATAGAATTTGTAAGGTTGTGCTGCCTTGAGATGGTAAAGCATTCAAAATTATACACCACTTATAAATATAACCACATCTGGACTCATAAAACATACTATTTAGATAGAATCTTCTGAGCATTGCTAAGTGAGTAACTTGAAATTAAAACTGCAACGACGGAGGTGGTGGTAGTATTTTTTCCATTTGTTAGGATGACATTCTGCTATATGGATTTACAAATTGATTAATTGCCTGGAATATTTTAGAATAAAAATGCTGTTCTAGTAATTCTGTTACAGTGTTGGATTAAACTCAGTGCCTTTGTCTGAGGGAAGATTTAACATAAACAAGGGTCTTTTGATACATTTTAGGTGAGAAACCAGGCTATTTTTTAACTGATTAAAAAAAAAATCTATAGCAAAATGCCTACAACTCTTCACCTTTTGGCAAAAGAAAAATTCCTAAAACAGAATGTAAGATTTAGAAAGTGAAGCATCTTTACCTATTCGATTGCTATCTTTTTGCTTTGGTACAGATACAGGCACTCATTAGATAATTCATAAATAAATGAATTCCATGAATTAATGAAATAAATTCCTAAGTAAGTGGCATGATACTGGCATTCATTAGCTGTCTAAATTCTGAGCAGTAAATATAATCATGTTCAAATTAGGAAGAAAACAAACAGGAGGAGGTGAGTTCCTTAGTTACATTTGAATTATTAGGTATGTTGAAAGAGAAGGGAGCCCAGCAGGGTCTGTGTACTCTATCGCCACAAAGTTTTCATTCCTGAATGGAAATTTCCAGAGCCTCTGCTGTAAACCATTTTATGACGGGTCATTTATGAGGAGAAACTCCTTTGCCAAAGTTAATATGTGGCAAGAGCGCCATCTCCTGGGAGAACTAGTTGGGCATGTTAGAAGAACATTTTAGTCTCCCCTCCCTGACCCCGTATAGCAAATTAATTTAGAATCACAGAAAAATTCTACTGGAATATCTTCAGAGATCATCTAGGCCATATATCATCCTATAGGTAAGGATTTGCCTTAAGTGGTTACATTTCCTTTGTTTCTATTGCTGTAATTGAACCCCAAATTGATCTCTGAAAGAAATCACTGACACTGCAACCATCAATACTAAACTACATCACAGGTTTCCTGTAAATCTGAGCATGAAAAAGAAGTTAAAATCCATTCGGTGAGCATCTAAAGAGCTCTCTCCAATAAAAATGTCTGCAATGCGGCCCACTACGGTAGCCACTAGCCATGTGCGGTTCTTAAGCATTCGAAATGTGGCTAATGGCACTGAGGAGCTGGATTTTTACATTTCTATGTGACTTTAATTACTTTTAAATTAAATTTAATTAATTTTGAATCAGCCACATATAGATGGTGCAGGGTTTCTCACCTCAGCACTACTTGTTTTGAACTGAGTGATTCTTTGACATGTATGAGAGGCCATCCTGTGCGTTGTAGGATGTTAGCAGCACCCCTGGCCTCTGCCTGCAAGATAGAGGCTCATATGATATGCGCCCTCGGCTGTGACAACCAAAACTGTCTCCAAACATTGCCTAATGTCCTATGGATGGGAGGGCAGAAATCATCCATGGTTGAAAGCTACTAGGCCAGCAGCTACTGTATGAAACAACACAGTCGTAGAATGCGGCATTTTAGTTCAAGAGAAGAACTTGCCCCTACACTAGGGCAGTAGTAGCTTCATCATTAAAATGGGGAAGGTGGGCCAGGGATTTAGCTCAGCGGTGTCACTGCCTGCCTAACAAACTCAAGGACCCGAGTTCGATCCCTGGTAACAACAACAACAACAACAAAAAATAACGGGGACTGTGAAAGAAAATAGGTTGTGACTTCATAATTGCTAAAACTTGGGAACAGCCCAACTGCCCCTCAACTGGAGACTGGATAAAGATAATGCTTTTTTGTTTTTGTTTTTTTTAAATATAAAATGGAGTACCACTCAGCCATAATGAATGAGAAACTAGAGATTTATAGCTAAATAGATGCACATTGAGGAGATACTCTCAAGTGGAATAAATAGGACACATATAAATACCGAAGTTTCTATGGTACAAGAAACTGAAAGTGTAAATAAGGACTAAAAGGTATAATAGATAATGTGAAATAGGAAGAAAAGGTCCAAGGGGGAAAGGAAATTGAGAGGGGTAGGGGAAAGGAATAAGCATGAGAAAAGGAAAAAATGGAAACAAAGTCTTTGTAAATAGAGAGGGGTGGAGGGGTTGAAGGGAGGGCAGGATAATGGGGGAAAATGAGAACCAAGATCTATCACGTAAAGGTGCAAATTTCCAATGATGAATGTCATCATATTGTATCCGTAAAATGTACCAATAAACTTAATGAATAAAAAAAGAAAATAGGTGTAAACAAAAGAAATAACTTTCTTCCTTATCTTTCTTCCCATGTTATTAAAAACAAAGCCAGGACAGTAACACTGGAAAATTCTGCCTCAGTTGAAACTCCCCCGGGGTTAACATCAGAAAGTCTGTTTGAATCCTCTCTCCTTGATCTGAGTAATTGAAAGCATTGATCTTCCTGAGTTTCAGCATATTACCTGGGAAAAGTACCCACCTGCTAGGCTTACTGTGAGGGCTCAATTAGATGATGCACAAAGTGTTCGTTGTTTAGTTATTTAATTTTAGACACTCTCCTAATCAGGCAGGAAAGTCTTTAGGCTTTCTAATATATCACACCCAATGTGTTTCAATTGCAAATAAGAATCGAATGGATAGGGAAGGGTGAAGTGGGTGTCGGGAGGGCAGGGGAATGGGGAAAAAACAAGAGCCAAGACACATCATGTAAAGGTACAAGATCCCAATGATGAACGTAACTGTACTGTTTGCTTCAAATGTACCGATAAACTTAATTAGGAGAAAAAAATCAAATGAAAAAAAGCTAGTCAAGATCTAGGAGCTTAACTTTATTTTAAGTTACAGTGACCACAGTATTCAATTACGTTTTGCTCTTGTTTGCAAATCCATTCCCTCGACACAATTAATGTGTAGCAGAAACTGTTTCAGTGTCTCCGGGAGGGTGAGCTCAGATATCTTATGATGTTGCTGGATTCCAAAGCACTGCCGGATTCTCAAGCGGCATAACTCCATCAAAGACGCCGGCCCTGGAGAAAAATCATAAGCCAAGTTTCACACTGCTTTCATTGATCTAAGACTGCTTCCCCTTTCCTTTTTAAAAAATCATACAAGATATAACACTGTTATAAGGAAATAATGTGGCACTGTTTAAGACCATTTTCCATTTTGGAGTGGGTTTTTTGGGGGGGGCAGTCATTTTTAGATTATTTTCTCTCTTTTCTGGTGTCTAACTGAAATAAGCTCATTGGGTTTTAATTTAGAACAGAGTTGAAGAAATTTAAAGCTTAGCCTCACTAACAGAGGTTTAAGGAAACTAGGGAGCTACACAGCTACACAACAAATCTAATAATGAAACTAAAATTCAGTTTAATGACTTTCTTGTGGTCTTTTACCTTGAAATTAGATCATAGTTCTGGATAAGAGTATGCTTACTTTATAAATTTTAGCAATTTTTAAATATTCCAGTATAATAAGATCTGTGAATCATAAGTGTCTACTATCTTATTAAATTATATTTCTTTTCATATTCATATGCAGAACTATATGAAAGCTTCAACTCATAGGTGAAAAGGAATGAATATAAACCTTTCACAGGGTATATTCAAGAGCTTACATTTGGGGTCATGGATCGCCACAGACGAGAGGCTGGAGTGAAGAAAGGAAGAAGTATTTTGCTCCCCCAGAGGACACTGTGCAATATCTGCAGACACGTTTTAGAGATATTTAATTATCATAACTTGGGGAAAGTGCAGCTGCCATCATTTCCTCAATAGAGGCCATGCTGATAAACACGTTACAGTGCATAGAACAGACCTCAACTGGCCCAAATGGCCTCTAGTTCTAAGGCTGAGAACCCCTGCTACAGGATAAAAGGATAGGGAATGATTTCCTACCTCCACCCTCACTCCCTGCGTCAAACTGCAATGGAAATTCTCTTTGGAACTCTTGAGGAGTTCCAGTAGTCCTTGATCTCAACTACACTTCAGCATCATCTAGGATGGGAAAACTTTAAACTACACGATTTTGGGCCCTACTCCAGAGATGTTGCTTCAGTTATTGTCGGCTGGAACAGATGCATATAGATTTTTTTAAAAAACATAGGCTCCTGGTTATTTTATTGTGTGTTGAGAATACAACCAAAAGGACACCATGGCCTCCATTTTCCTATAGCCTGACCACAAGCTACAGGGTAAACTGATACCTCTCAGGTGATAGAGAACAAGGAGCGATGGAAATAAACAGATACCAAAGAAATGAATGAAGATTTGTTGGTTTTGTTTTGCTTTGCTGTACTGGATATTGAATCCAGGGCCCTCGCACTGAGCTACATCTCAGCTCTTTTTCTATTTTTTATTTTATTTTTATTTTTTGGTACCGGGGATTGAACTGCGGTCCATGAGCTTGCAAGGCAGGCAGCGGAACCACTGAGATAAATCCCTGGCTCTCTATTTTGTATTTTGAAGCAGGGTCTTACTAAGTCACTGAATTGCCCCACCTGAGCTCAAAGTTTCAATCCTTCTGTTTCAGCCTCCTGGAGTTCTGGGATTACAAGCATACACTACCACTCCTGGTTGAAAGCAAGATTTTTAAATTAGGCCCTAACATGCTTTCCAATGGGCCCTGTTATGGTTTGTGTCGAGATGTCCCCCTGAAGCCTAATCCCTTCATAGCTAGTGCTTTTGGGAAGTGGCTGGATCATGATGTATGATACTGGGATTAAGAGTGAGTGATGACTAAATGAGTTTAGCATAGTTTTAAGTGTGGATAATAGAAGCCCCACTCTGAGTGTGGATAGCACCAATCAATAGGTTTGTTGCCTGGATGGAATATAAAGGGACATAAGGAAGGAAGGCTTGCTCACTGTTGCTGCTTGCTGCTTCTGCCTGCCACACTAAGAACTGTTCCTCCTTTAATGTGTGAGTGTTAGGTATTTTGTCCCAGCATGAGAAAAGTAACTAAGACAGGCCTTGTTGGAATTTAGGGCACTTTTCAAATTATAACCAGAGCATTGAAAGCCTATACTATCACCTTGCAAAAAGTACAATGGAGAAAAAGACCTTAATCTAATCTCACCAAAGAATGACAGAAAATGCAATTAAACATATGTGCTGGATACACCATCAGGGTAACTAAGAGGTACTGACAAAGCACCGTAAAGGACAAGACTTGAGAGAAAGCCTGATACAAAATTATACAAGGTAGGACACCAGAGTAAGTGCAATGTAATACTAATGTTAATTGAATAGCTGCTGTTTACGACAAGTAGTATGACTATAACAGCTATAGCTCTAATTCCATACAGAGCTGAAAACCCACTACAACTTTGTAGCCAATTGCTGGAGCATGCAAGCATTCAAATGGGTTTCTAGTCAGCTAATTGTATATTTATAAATTGGCATATTCCGTTGGATCTCACTATCTCTGCCCAGCAACATTCATGAAGTTTCAAGGCCAAAGTGTATTTTGGTGGTAAGAGGCTCCTGTCCTGCTAGGCTAACGGGGTCATTTTTAGTTTTCATTATGTGCCATAAGCAAACATGGCTTTAGATGCTTATCAAGAAGGGTGATATTCTTGAAAATATTTCTCCTTCCTTCCAAAGAAGGGAGAATTTTGCTTTGCCTAATGACCATGTAAAGCCTAACTTAAAACAAGGTTGGCTTTCACTGAATGTTCTCCTGTCACACGATTGAAAGGGGTGATTAAGTAGCACAGAGAAACAGATAGACTGAATTGTCACAGAGAGAGAAATGGGTTAAATCTGCAGGCATGACTTCCTATGCTCGCCTGGCACCATTTCTGGTGGGCTCCCCACCCAAAGAGAAGTGACCTCAGCAGAATTCCAAAAAATGACTCATGGAGGAAAAGAAAACAAGCAGTGGTTCTCTCTGGTGGCAAATTATACTTCATTTACTTATTTTATCTATTTATTTTTGGGGGGTGCTGGGGATTGAAGCTAGGGTCTCACATACACTAAGCATGTGCTTTACTGAGCCATCCCTCAAGCCCTAAATTGCACTTTATAAACTAGTGGAATCCTTGGTCACACTGTTACTATGCAAAATGAGAAGCAAAGCAATTCAAGATAACCCAGATCTCTAGGAATGGCTTTGAAAAATAAAATAGAAAGGAAGAGCCAGTGAAAGCAATCTGAAAATCTTAGGAGGTTATTTGATGGGAAAGTGGATAAATACATCCTACACTATGACTTTAGGGGAAGCCCTGAGGCACTTTTGCCTGTGTGGATCCCTGTTTCAATAAAAATATATTAAAAATTATATTTTACAACTGTGTTTGTATAAAGATGAATATAATCCAAGTTGCTTTTTATTCAGTTTTTCTTCTGATTATAAAAGAATTTGAGACATTTCTGTGAGCCCTGAGGCACTGTAGGAGAAATCAGCCTTGTATAGATAGCAGTTTTTTAAAACAAGAAATCATCAAAATGCAGGTAGAACTACCCAATGATCCCACTGTTAAACGTAAAGGGATCTCCAATGTGTTCTTTCGTCTTTTTAGCCCACGACACTGCTGGGAAGCATAGGCACTCCCCAAAACAGGGGTTTGGCTGGGGCAGTAAGACTAAGAAGAATTCCTTGTCCCACTTTACAGTTTGGCCCAGAGCCAGCCAAATTTCTCAGCAAGTGGGGAGGAAAAACCAAATTATAATAAATGACATCAGAATCCTGGTAGGGAGACTTATCTCAAAACTACACAAACTCTATAACTTAACAGGGTTGGTTTTTTTTTAAGTGTGTATCGAATTAAATCTAGAGACAATTAAGATTGAAATCAGGTATCTTCCCAATCGGAGGGTCACTTCTACCCATCCTGGCCAATGCATCAAGAAAATACTCTTTCTCCTGTACACACCACTCAAACACAATATTTAGTTGTTTGGTTTAGGAGTGTCAGTTCTTATTAATGCAAGAGAGGATTTATCTTTGGTTAACCTATAGTAGTTTGTCTGGATTGATATGAATCATTAAAGAAATACCTTAAATTCTTAATTCCCTGCATTTTAATGCCAGAGATCAAATTCCCAGTGCTTTGGCACATCCTAGGTCATCATGCAGTGCCATAGAGGTTTCTACTGCATCATTCCAATGCATGTTTTGGGCAACTTTAATTTTGAAATTTTAAAATAAGATTTTAATTCTCTGAAAACTGGCCCATCCCATATGTAAATATTAGATCATCCCAAACAACCTATCTCCAACATGCAAAATGGCAGGATGGCTATTTACTACATAATCCATACTGCATCCTGTTAAATACTAAATGTTTTCAACTTCCTCATACTTTGTGGTGTCAGAAAGATGATCTTTTATATGTCTGGAAGTCAGAACTCAGTAAGTACCTGCCTCGTCTTAAAGCTAGAAGGCATCTCTACAGATTAGGGCTTTGGGTTAGGACAAAGGAGAAGCACCTTCTCTCTGTAAGAAGAGATTGATCAAAGGGCTGTCTGGAGGCACCAGTTCCACAGGACGTTTGCCATCAGCATTCCTGGCCTGGGTGTTTGCTCCGAAGTCCATGAGCAGGCAGGCCAGCTCCCCGTTGGAGAGCCTGGCCACTGCATGAAGAGGAGTATCCAGATCCCTGCCTTGGTTCACACTTGCTCCTAAACAGTCACAAGAAGAAAAGTTGGTCAGCCAAGGAGCAGAGTTCAACCATCTTCCTGCTCAGAAAAATGAACTTCAAAATTTCCTAATGAAAGGGGACCCATGGGGAGCATGGCAATTCTGTGAAAAGGGAAATGATTTGATCCTATTTAATCTATGAGGAAAATGCCACTTGGCAACGTGACTGGATGCACCACAAGAACTGTATAGCATATGAAGTTAAAAAGTTCACCGCTGAGCGTTACCCATAGGCATGATACATAGAAGAAAAATCCCAGTGACATGAAAGCTTATCATATGCATTATTAACAGAGTCTAAGAATTAGCCAGTATTGAGAGTGACACTAGATGGTGAAATTCTGTATACACCTAGCAGCCAAATTCTTATTCTAAGCAGCAACCTTAAAATCTGGGACTTGAGACTGTGAGATTTGGACTGTGAAAACCAACCAATTCTGGGGGGCATCTCTGAATTTTGGATGGCCAACCCCACGATCACAGAGAAAGTGACCAACTTCTCTTCCAGAGTAGAGTGGACCTAAGACCATGTCCCACCAAATTCTAGCTCTTAACAAATCTCCGCACCAACCCAGTTCTTGGTTCTTCCTGTGACATGTTGGAACATGTTTTCCTGAGCTGCTGTCCCTCCAGCAAAATTAGGAACCATGTCCGTTCAACAAATGTTACCCGAATTGGTTCTGGAAATAGGGTTCTTTTCTGGCTAGGAGCTTAAAATCTACCTAGGTGATAAGAGAGGGCGAGGAAGAAACAGAGACAGAGATAGAGAGAGACAGAGACAGAGATATATGAATGAATATGAAGGAATCTCCTAATTGACAAAAATGGCTGTCAATGAATGGAAAAGAACTACAAAAATATTCAGTACAGGGAGGGATTTCTGGATTTTTTTAAATGGTGGCAAAGTTTCTCATTTATTAAAGGTAGGAAAAAAACAGAAGGGGAAAAATGGGCTCTGTTTGCTTGGGCCAAGTAAAATTAGGAAAAGGAGAAAGGAAAAAATAGAGATACACCTACATTATAGGGTGGGCTACTGTGAAGGAATACCATAGCCTGGAATCTTAAGGAATGAAAAGGACTCAGATAAGTAAAGAGGTGGTGAGATGGAGTTCCAGGTGTTGAGAAGGGTGCTAGACAATGGCAGGGAAGTGAAAAAGAATGATAATACCTAGGCCTTTACAGGGAAAATGAAATAATTACAATGGACTAAAATAGGGCAAATTCAACTTTCAAGTCAAAGAGACCAGTGAAGACCCCAATAGGAAGACTCGGCCCAAATCCAGCCTCTCTGCAACTTATGCAGGCACTAATCAGGATTGGCCAGGAGAGGCAGAGGAAAAGGAGGAGAAACTAACGATCACTGTGGACCACCAGGGGAGGGTTATCAACATCATCGTCATCATCATTCTGTTTACAAATGAGAGAACTGAAGTTCAAGCAGTGCAAAATGACCACCCTTGGGAACATAGTACAAACTCTTGATTTTGCCCAGCTCCTTGCCTACACTCCTTCCTCTGCCACAAAGGAAATATCTTTAAAATACACTTAACTTTGTTTCCATTTTCTTCCCTTGTTTTTTTGTTTTTGTTTTTGTTTTTTTTTTTGTTTGTCTGTTTGTTTGGTTTTTGTCTTACCTGACTCCAGAAGCTTCTTGGCACAGGCTATCTGCTGTTTTTCACAAGCCAAATAAAGGGGAGTGCCCAGGAGGCTGATGTTATGGTTAATGTTGGCACCATGAGCTATAAGCATCTCGACACACTCCACATGGCCTGCAGATCAAAGGGGGAGAGAAACCCGTTACAGCACAGGTTTCCTTAGTTAGGGAAACAACACTGTCCCCATTTTTCCTGTGATTAAATTTGTCAGTAATATATCCAGGCATCAAAAATGATTGCCTTTACTTAGAAAAAAGGATGATTTTAACCACTGCCATCAGTTTACGGGTTGGCCCCATGATGTACTTAAGTTCATTGGTCACGGTAAGCACCCAGCAACCATCCACATTCTTTCGGTGTTTGTGGGCTAATGGAGGAATGGGAATTGAAAGTGGACTTGAAGAAAAAAGGGCATGGTGAAGGCCATAGGATAGGGAAGGAAACTTCTGGCCTCACCAAGGGTAGGCCTGGGAGCAGCAGGCCAAATCTGGCACAGTCAAAGCTTACAAGAAGCTACCAAGCCAAACAGAAACAGGACCCAATCTGGAAAACTAGATTTAGTGAAAGCTGAATTGCTCTGCTTTGGTCTAGAATGTCATACTTGAAGCAATGCTCCTTCATGTTTTTCTGGTTATGCCGATTTAGCTGTGTGCATCACTGTGTTTTGGGCAATAATCATCATATGGATTGGTTATTCTAAAAAGCTACCAGGGACACAGAAAATCCTCTGAAGTATAGTCATAATGATGATGATGATAAACATCAGAGAAATGCAAATCTTGCGATTTTACTATTTGTCTTTGAATTAAGACTATCAGGAAACTCGTGGCTTTGTGAAAAGAATTACCCCAAGCTGTATATAACATATTGTAGTCCCCAATACTGAAATTTGTTTCATCTGACAAATTTAGGTGGCCCTGAGATACTGTTATTTAAGGCCATAAAATAGAAGGATACAATTTGTTTTATAAAATCTCTTTATTTTTATGGAGTCACGGGTTCAACCATATTTCCCATAAATATTGATGGATAGTCTACTATGTGTACCAGGCCCTGTTCCAGAAATATACAGTGAATATTCCAAATGCTCTAAAAGGAAGATTCTCAAACTTCCTGTGCAGCAGAATCACCAGGAGGGCTTATTAAACTTAACACAGATGGCTGGACCCCACCCGCAGACATATTCAGTCAGTGGCACTGTAGTGAAGCCCCAAAGTGCCCCCCACTGGCAGGTTCTACCCTGCTTACGCTTCTAGTACCAGGATCTCAGTTTGAGAACTACGCTAAAATACATCCTCTGCCCTCTTCTTTCAACAATGAAGCATCCCTGAAAGGACTGGGTGGAAAAATCAGAAATTCCCAACAGATTTACCTCTCTTAGCAGCCTCATGGATTGGAGACGCCAGATCACTCTCTGAGTGGGGGCTGGCTCCGTGCTGCAGAAGCAAATGCACACAGTCCAGGCTGCCACTGATACATGCATTAAACAGGGGAGTATGCCAGTCTGTGGTCACAGCATTCACCTAGGAGAAAAGTTCCAGGATGAGCTTTCTCTCCCACTTACAAGGCATTATTTAATTTCTCGGAGCTTTAAAGTCCACAGCTATAAAATGGGAAGAAAAATACCAGAGTCTAGAAGGTTGTTCTGAAAAATCTGACTGGGATATTGAATGGGAGGCAGCAAAAATGTTACAAAAGCTTCTGCCTTCTTGCCTGCCCCAGGAACATGAACTCTGAAAACAATTAGGGTAATTTTCATAGCTTACAACTGTCCTTTTTATTTTAAACTCTCATCCTAGACCAATCCAGTCTCCTCATAGCAGTCACAGTGATCTAAAATTGTTAAAATGTGATTTTAAAATATTTTAAAACATGGCTTTCATAGACACATAGAATTAACGCATGCCAAATATTTTATTCAATTCATTTATTAAAGAGGGAAGCAGTAAGATGGTAAGGCTGGCTCAAAGGATAGTTTATACAGTCAGTCAATAGACTGCTTAAGTAGTTTTGCTAAGAGATACAAAACTGGTCAGTGCCCTGATAAGGCCATGAAACTGTAATCTTTGGGTTTATTTTTTCTAATACTTGAAGTCCAAAACTTACAAGTTAACATCTAACATCAATCAGAATTATTTGGGCTACAATCGAATAGTAAAGAGCAAATGCAAATGCAGATATGCTCTTCCATGTTGTTTATGAATACCTTGGAGAATCTGTCAAATGATGGCATTATGTAGACAATGAAATCCTTTTTACATTCTATTTCCAAGCAAGGCCAGGGCCAGAATGAGGTACAAAAGATGGCCAGGGTTCGAACTTTAAAATGTTCACTGTTGGGGTCACACAAGTGCCAGAGGACCCTAGGAAGCTTCGTTTGACTCCCTTTCTCCAGGTGAGAAAAAGATGGTGAAACACTTTTGTGCTTCCAACCACCTTAGTACTTAACACTTAATACCTATTGTAGTTTGCACAAATGGTCACAGATTCTTCCTAACTTCCTGTGTCTATTCCCTGATGATATGGCTTTGTAACTCTTCCCATCACAAGATCAAGTCTATTAGTCCAATATTTGTGACTGAGCTTGACCATGTGACTTGCTTTAGCCAATGAGACAGTAGAAAATATGGTTCAAGAAGAGAATGTGCCCTCTTTTGCTGCTCTTGAAGTCCCGGCTACCACCATGGGAACAAATCCAGGCTACTTGCTAAAGGTTGAGAGACACAAAGATGTTCTGTCTCCCCAGACATCCCAGACAAATGTTACGTACTTTCTGCAATACTTTACTACCTCCATTCATAGAAATGAAGACAGAAACTTCACATCTATTTTTTTTCCCTTGGTAGCAAATTTTATACTTGCTCCCAAACTGGCACGTGTCAGTTCCACAGACTCCACCCTCCTAATACAGTGAGCTAGAAAGTACAGTCCAACTCTGTGCTGAAGGTAGAGAGCCAGAAACATTTAGTGAATACTCTGTGCTTACCCAAGTGAGTTTACCAACCAGTGTGAGCTCAGCAGTCCATAAGGAAAACAGATAATCTCATAAATCTCCTAGAATTGTCATCAAGGTTACTGGAATGGACCCATAAAGAACACTTAGAACAGGGGCTAACTCATAGGAGGTTCTCTTTTCCTTTCCCTATGTTCAAAGCATAAGTCAGTATCTTCAACCCTGCCTAGCTGCCTCTACGCTTTTTCTGAAAAAGTCCTCTCCATTTTTCTAGTCAAGGAATGAGGAGAAGTATCAAAACTGACTGCCCAGTTTTAATCATGGGTCACAGCTATTTCTTAATCAAGTGTGATAAAGAAAATGCAAGAGATTCCAGATATGATTTTCTAGCTAAAAAAAAAATCAGTATTTCACCTATCACTAAAGCAACAAGCTTCATGGACATAACTTTTGAAAGCCACCATTCTTCATATTTCAAATCAAGAAAATCATAAGTGCTGGAAATTATGCGGTCATTTTTCATTCTTAGATATTACTTGTTTCTAAGATATTATGTGGGCCATTTACCTGAGCTCCATGTCTTAATAACATATTTGCACAAGATGGATGACCTCCAAGACAGGCTTCATGGAGTGGCGACACTTGATCTGCTGTGCTGATATTCACAGGCCACCCCTGATGGACAGAAAATGAACAGAACACCAAAATATATTTATCCATTTTACTTTGATGGATATTTGGGTTGTTTTCAAGGGTTTTTTTCCTACTTTCTGGTATGAATAAATCTGTGTTTTTTCAACAAACAGATACATACATATATATTGCACATATATCTAGAAACAGAACTGCTGAATTATAGAGTGGAAATAGTTCTAATTTTAGTAGGTATTATTTAACAATTTCCCAAAGTGTTTTGTACAAATTTGCACTCACAATAGCAATGCAAGACAATTCCATTTGCTCGACATCCTTGCCAGCACTTGCTATTATCTTCATCAATCTTTTCAAATATAATCTTTCTACTGAGGGGAAGGGGCAATACTATCTTGGACTTTTAATTTACATTACCCCAATTATGATACTAATAAACACAGTCTGATATGTTTACGGAATATTTAGATGTGTTTTTTGTGAGTTGCCAGGCCAAGACTCCTGCTCATTTTACATTGGGTTGCCTATGTTTTTGTATCCATTTTGAACCAGAAATTTTCTCTTTTTTTTGGTACCGGAGATTGAACTCAGGTCTTTGCACTTGCAAGGCAGGTCACCAAACCGCTGAGCTAAATCCCCGGCCCAAACCAGAAATATTTTAATTGAAAATATTTGCAGTAGGTTCAATCCCTGGAACTTCAAAAGAATTCCAAGTATTGACTTCTAGTCTGTGGCTTGCCTCCTCAGCATTTTTTAACATGGTCTTTTGATGCAGTTCTTAATTTTCAAGAAATCTAACTTATCAATCCTTTTGTTCCTTTTCCCATACTATATTTCTTCTGTGTCAGAAGCCTCTCTCTGTGCTATGACTATCAAAATGCCGCTTTCTTACCCTTGAACTCTGTGGTTTTGAAGTAGTTTTTTAGAAAGTACTAAACACATGAGGCCTACCCTAGGCTAAATACAAATGTCTGAGATAAGGCCCAGGCATTGTCATCTTTTAAAAATAATCTTTGATTATTTTGATGTGAAGCAATGATATAGAATAATTGCTAGTGGATTCAGTTTTTCCTTTCTTTGACATGAGAATTTTTAAATAATTTTTCTCTTTGTCTTATAGTCACTTGAATGCTTTATCTTATTTATCTTAATAAAATGTTCTTAAATTTGTCAAAGTGTTTTTCTTTATCTCCAGTGTTAAATAGATTATAAGAAAATAGATACCACTTGTGATGACCAACTGGATTTGATAATTTACCTATCTCACTTTAGTTAATTCTGTCAAACCCACTGAGATGGAATTTAAGGTCTCAATTTTGCTCTCCTATGGTAATAGTGTAACATATTCAGACCCTTTCCATGACCTCATAGTCAACAAAATACATACTTCCTTGATCCTTGACACTAGACTTGGTCTTGTGATTCACTTTGACCAATGGGATATTAGCATGTGTGTCATAAGCAAAGATTGGATGTACTATATTCTTATATGATTGAGCTTTCCCTGCTATTCTCTGCCTTTCGCTAAGTGAAGAAAATGTCTCAGGTAACCAGTGGTCCATTAGTGATAGAAGATACATGCAGCAGCTGTACCTAACCTACTGCTTGGAGAACCCAGGAAAGCCCAGCTTAGATCAGCTGGTCCAAACAATCATTAGCAAGAAATCGTGGTTATTTTATTATTCCACTGAGTTTGGGGTTGGTTTGTTGCTGAGTTTTGAAGTGACTGCTATAGGTGGTTATTGGAATGCTCACTTAACGAAGGCAGAAATCAAGGTTCCAGTGTAATAACTCACTCGAATAACGTGATAAAGCTTAGATAAAGACATGGTTCTGGCTGGTGATCATTCAATAAACACATAAATATTAAATATAAGTGAACATCTGTCCAAATTTAGCAAGTTATGTATAAAAGCTGCGATGACCATTTTTCATCCTATCAAAATAGGGTAAATATTTCATTTCATCTGAGAAGCAGTCTAATTTCTTTGATCTACTTATGTGTTATACTCTATATTTCCATTTGTAATAGGCTGCTGCTGTGAAAAACAGCTTAAGATAGTGGCCTCGGGTAGTAAAAAAACTTTCTTTACAAACTATTTTCTTATAGGAAGCTTTCTTAATCCAGATAGGTCCATGAAATTTGGTTTTTTAAAGCATTTTTATTTGCACTAAACTCTACTCAAAATTCTGCATATTCTTCAATTAAGAATCTTGATAACAAATCAAAGTAGTAAAAGCAGTTGGTAGTACTGTCTCCAATAGAAATCACACATTTTAGTGCATTATGATTGTTGAAGATATCTAAAATATCTCAAAATACAGGTTCACCCTATATTTTAGAAAGCTTGCTATTCTTAGAATCACCACTAGATTTTCTTTAATGAATTAATTTAAAAGTCTATGTATTATTACATAACCCATTTGTTTTAAGACTTTGATAGGTTTCCTCTGTATTACAGTTTATGCATTGAAAACTTTACTCTGAGAAAAGGGTCATTAGACTTTCCCAGATTGCCATTGAGGTCAATAGTACAGAAGGAGCTAAAAAATCTTAATTTAATAGACATATTGTCACTTTAGAGGGCAGAACTTTCTGAAAAACCTTAAGATTTTAATGATGACTTAAGCTGCCTTCTTAAAAGTGGCTTTGTGTAGGTTTCCAGTAATTTTAAAACCAACACAATTCCAATAACTGTGGAATTACACCTGAGGAGCAGAGAAATAAAAATGAAAGTGTTCACAGCCATTGTCAACTGGACGTGTCTGAAATGACAAGACTGCATATTTAATCAGATATTTTCAAGCACTTATTGTACAGTGGGGCATTTTCCACCTAGGCTCTACTGACATTTGGGGCTGGGTACTTTTTGATGAGGAGGGCTGCCCTGTGCACTGTAGGACAGTTAGCAGTTTCTGCCCACTAGGCAGTCCTAACAACCAGCAATAGTGCCAGATACTGTCAAGTGTTTCCTGAGGGGCATAACTGCTGCAGTTAAGAATCACTATTTTACACAATAATGTGAAAGAACATAATTTATTAAATGGACTGGAGGCAATTTGAATGTATGAACTTGTCGGTTATTTTTTTAACAGATACTTAGCATAGCACCCTACTATGTGCTCACAGCTGTACTGAACTCTGGCTTTATATCAGCCTCCAAAAAAGAAATGGTTAGTTAGATAGGATACACTTCATCTCACTTAGGAAGAAATTTGTATCTTACTGCCAGTCTATGATTTCCTTTTCCTGAATTTGGTGTAGCAAGAGGATGTGCTGAATTTAACTGGTCTATTTCAAAGAGCTACCTGGTTGATGAGGTTCCTCAAATAGAACAGACGTCCATGGATTGCAGCTTCGTGCACCGGAGACCAGTAAGACACAATATCTGTATGGAAAGAGAGGAACAGGTTACAGCCTGTTAGTGCTCTTAGGCCGGAGGCTCATTCTTGTCCATCGGTGAGAGCATAACAAGAACCTAGATGGAGACATAGAAGTCACTTACCCAAAATTCCCGTCAGATCTTTGGAATGTCTTCCATGTATTGATGCTTCTTGCGAATAGTTTATTTGTAATGCCTAGATAGCTGAAGAACTGCAGCCAGTGTCCAAACAGGCACCAAAAGAAGGAGATTGGGAAATCATGGTGTTAAGTGAAATAAATTAGGCACAGAAAGACAGATACCGCATGATCTCACCCACATGCGGAAGGTAAAACAGCAGAGAGGAGAATGGTGGCCACCAGAGAGGATGGAGAGAGTGGGGAGAGGGAGGGGTAAGGACAGGCTGATCAATAGGAGCTAAATTACAGTTAAGTAGAAGCAAAAAGTTCTGGTGCGCTACTGTATAGTAGGGTGACTACAGAAGCGGTAATGTCTTGCATATTTCCAAAAGCTAGGAGAAAGGATTTTGAATGTTTTTGCCACAAAAAAGGTAAATGTTTGAGGAGATCGGCATGTTTAACTGAATTTAAACATTACATAATACATACATGTATCAAAACATCACACAGTACCCCATTAATGTGTTCATTTTAATTTTATCAGTTTAAAATAAATTAATTCAAATTGTAAAAATTTTAAAAAGGAGATCGAGATGACAGCCCTTCTATTTTTACTGTGGTCTCAAAGACAAACGGCCCATCTAATTAAGTGAGAGCTTTGCTAACTACCAGCGTTAATGTGTTGAGCTATGGTTGCCAGTCTAGTTCCCTTCATAAAATGCAAACTTTTCCTCTTTAGTAAAGAGTGCCATATATTGATATTTGTTTCATGTAATTACATACACCACTAAGTTTGGAATCAAATGTAAACAGAAACTTATCTATGCATAGATTACCTCCCATCCCAATACTGAGTGGAAATCAGAGCTCAGTCTGCCCATGAACCAGGAACATTATCCATATTTACCCCCAAAGGTACTGCACCAATATGGTTAAAAGAATGCTCTGAATCAATATCCACTTGACTTCCCAGCTGTGGGTCCCTGAACAGGCTCTGACTCTCAGTTTCCCTTTTGGTTAATTGAGGAGAGCAATATAATTATCCATTGCTCAATATATATTAGCTACTGTTATTATCCTGCCTTAACACGAAAAAGACTGTTCATTATACTCCACAGCTATTGCTATGCAAAAGAGTCTACAACCATAGAGGAGGAATACAAACTCGTAGAAAAGAAGCCTGTAAACCCTGACCCAACACATTAAATGTTTTCCTCATGCCTTCTAATTACATGTAGATGTAACTGAGTGAGACACAAACCCAATTTTTTCTCATCTCAAGCCGCATCTGATTTCCAGATCAAATGGATGCAGCAAGCCAGGATGGAAGGAGGCTTGCCTGGGATGGCATCAGCGTCAGCTCTGTCTGTTTTGGCAAACACACAATGTATGAGCAAGGCAGAATGATCTGATAGCAGTTCTGCTTGGAAAACAAGTGCTAAGAAAACCAGGAGAAGCAGAGCAGCTGCTACAGCCCTACAAACTGGAAGGCCATGAAAGAAGAAACAAGAACAGTTTGCACATCACACGTGTTGGCGGAGGCCTATCCGCCACCTGGAGCCATCAATGTCCTGGAAAATCTGCCCCAGTGAGCAAGCTAGCATCCTTCCAGATGGATTCTTTAGCATTTAGTGCATAAGAGGAGGCTGAATGAGCCCACACACTGCCCAGCCAGGACTTTCCTTCTCAGGTCACTAAAGTCTTAAGGCAAGACATCTTAAGTGAAATGACTTTTCCTGGCCCACAACTATGCTCAATAGATATTCATTGTCCTCACAGCATTTTCTGAGGTTCCTAATTCTCACAGGAAAAATACTGCTAATTCTAGGGCCTGGAGTCTAAAATGCAGACCACGGCTATGGCAAGATTTAGATTCAAATTAGAGTTAAATGGATAGCTAATTCCACCGTGTTGGTGCTGATAATACAAAATACCATTCGTACAGAATCTTGAAAGAAAAGAAAGAGCCTAAAAATGAGAAAGATTTTGAAAACCAGTTTTAAATAGATTTGCAAATGTACCCTAATGGATCGCTGTGTGTGATGATTAGTCCATTTTTCCTTCCGCGGCTCACCTGCCAAGAAATATAGCTGCCACACTCTTCAACCTTCTTAAAGCTAGTTAAGTTTGTCATAGTTGAAAGCCTAAACAGTCTAAGCAGGTACTTTAGGTCCTAAACTATAACTGTGTTTAGATTTCATAAAAGTGTTGCAATCATACTATTAATGTAGATAAAAATGGGGTTTAATTTCTACTCATTCCATGTGAAACCATTACTCCTCCTATATAAAGTAAATAAAGAATTAGGCACTTCTGCAAGAGAAGTGCAGGGGCTACCTGAAGTTCTGCACCCATGCAGGATGCAGTATTTACAAAGCAGAGGCAGAGTGTCTTTCAGAGGTAGAGTGTTTGTCCTGGAACAGAGTAGGGGGCTGACCATACTGATATAGGTATCTGGCCGGCCAGTAAGCAATTTTATTGAGCTTAACTCACATAACATACGATTTACCCATTTAAAGTGCACAATTAAATAAATGCTTTTCATTACATTCACCACAGCCAACACCACAATCAATTTTAGAACATTTTCATCACCCCAAAAAGAAATCCTGTGTCCCTTAGCATTCACTACACATTTCCACTTCTTCCCCGGGGCCCTGGCAACCATTGATCTACTTCCTGTCTTTATGGATTTGCCTATTCTAGACATTTCATGCGGATGGACCCATGTAAGATGTGCTGCTTTGTGACTGACTCCTTTCATTAGAGCATGATGTTTCCAGGTTCATAGTCATTGTACTTCATCCCTTCTTTGGTCAAATATTAACTGTATGGATAGACTGCATTTTATTTATTCACTTAGCAGTCAATGAATGTTTACATTGATTCCACCTTTTGGATATTATTAGTCATGCTGCTGCAAACATTCCTAAGCATGTTTTGAATGAATGTATGGCTTGGATTCTCTTGTGTGTATATAAGTAGAGTTACTCTATGATATTATGATGCAATTTCCAGCCTTTCAAGACTATTTCTCAATGTGGATGCACTACTTTATTTTCCCATTAGCACTGTTTAAAGTGTCCCTTTCTAATTTAAAGTCATGGTATTCTAGGGTTTGTTAAGCATGTCGCAATGTACCATTCTCCTGCCCAGAAAATAAAAATAGGTCCTTTTAAAGCCTAAATATTTTTATTTATACAAGGATCTTAACCTCAGCAGATCTCAGAGCAATCAAATGATTATGTAAGTCAAAACAACGACAGTGGGCAGGTTTACATTTTTCTAACATTTAGAGAGCATGTTTTGTTCATGCATGTGTAGGTACACGCATACATACACGAATGCAGGCACGGTTTAGCCAACACTGTAATTTGCCCCATGGATTGGTCCACACATTCTATTTTGCAGTGGAGAACACCAACAGATAGTGAAGCCATGTACCTCATGAAACCCAAAATGAGAGGTTGGCCAGAGAGGACCTGGCATGTGCTTCTCCAGCATTTTCCAGTGCCCACATCTCAAGCAGACAATGAACAATAGGCTCAACACATGAGAGTTACACCCAGAAGCAGTGTCACCTGCAACTGGCAGCTGAAAAGAACAGAATAAGCAGGAAATGGGACCTATTTTCCTGCCTGAACGTGATGATGTTCACAGTAGGAGACTTTCAGATCAATGAAGGGGAGACTCGCATCTACAATATCCTTTTCCATTAACTGAACCAAAGTCTTTGAAACGCAAGGGTCCTTACCTATATGTAACATATTATCCTAGCCCTGGGCACATATTAAGGAATCTTAATGCTTAGTACTTATTCAGTGTTCTCAAATACTTGTTCAGCCATGCTCTGTTGATTCTGCTGCCAAAAGATGGATGCCAAATGAGGTCACTGGCGACATCATGGGTCCAGCAGGTGAAACGGGACAGGGAGCTCTCGTAACAAAATCCTTCCACAAATCCTCCAATTGGTTCCATTAAACTTACCTTTTAGAAAACAGTATCTCTATCAAACCTACAGTACATTAGGAAGGCTGCTCTTTCATTTTTATTGCACTTTCTGGAATGATTTCTAAAATTTCCATTATTTCAGGAAAGATTTAAAATACACTAATTGATACATTCTGCAAAGAGCTATTACCAAGGCTCCGAGAGCCCTAGTGAATGCTGAGAAACAGCATAAATCTTTCTACCTTGGGAACATTTTGTAAGGTCAGGAGAGGAGAGGTCAGGTTGCAGGGGAGATGGGATCTCTAGCCTTCAGTCTTCAGGATAGGATAAGGGAGGATTCAGTGGCATGAACCAACATTGGAGAGGATCTGGGAGCTGTGTTTACAATGACAGTGAATTTTGGTTTGATTCCAGGACAAACAAAAGGAGAGAGAGAAAGATAACTGAAGGCCCAAAGTCAGAAACAGGCAAACAGAAAAGTCCATTGAGACAACAACCCTCAGGCAAGTTAGTCCTGTTCACTACAATTATTTCTTCAGAATCTCAACCAACCTCTCTCTCTCTCTCTCTCCCCCCCCATCCCCCTCTCCCCCCCCACCCTC